ACTTACGGACATTCGAGTGGCTTTTGAAACAGCTAGGACTGACACTTGTGCGTTTCGTCCCTCTCCGCCACCTACCTATTCCTACTTCCCTTCACATCAGTACTGGCATGTTACAGACTTGCCGTGGAAAAAGAAGCGTCGGAGAAAAAGAGGAAAGCGTGCTGGAGCTGCAGTTCGGCTGAGATCCACTGCTGGTTTGCTGTCTACAGGGCCAGGGATGATACACGGATTACGTCTTCACTGGCGTTCGCTGGACTCATCGTATCGATGGCTTCGACCTGTTGTCCCTAGCCCTGGCCCTGTCTCTCCGCGCTGCCTCCCTCCGCGGGTTCGTCATGGTGGAGTAAATACTTATAACCTCCGACTGATTCGGAGATCTACGCAACCCCAGGGAGAGGTGTCGCCATTACATGTGGCTTTGATCAACGCGCGCTCTCTGGTAAATAAGACATTTATATTAAATGACTTTTTTACTCTGCATGCTCTAGATGCCCTATGTATCACTGAAACTTGGATTAAAACTGGAGATTTGAGCCCATTTACTGAGCTGGTGCCTCAGGGCTGTAGCTTTTTCATTTCCCCTCGGTTATCTGGCTGTGGTGGGGGCTTGGCGACAGTGTTTGAGAACTTGTATATCTGTCGCAGTCTATCAACTGGGACTCGTACTTGTTTTGAAGTTCTGCTGTTTCAACTTTCTCTAGTCAACCCTGTGGTTTTTGCAGTCATATACCGACCACCCAACGTAAATAAGGAATTTTTAAATGAATTTGCTCAATTTATGAGTGAAATTGTCACCAGTTATGATAGGATTTTAATACTAGGAGACTTTAACATCCATGTATGCTGTGACTCCAAACCACTATCCAAAGACTTTCTTAGTTTACTCGATTCTTTTGACTTTGTGCAATGGGTATCTGGACCTACTCATGCTCAGGGACATACTTTGGACTTGATTTTATCTCGTGGCGTGCCAGTGCTGGATATAAAAATTGAGAACGCTGGCATATCGGATTATCTGCCCATATTGTTCTCAGTGTCTCTTGATGGAAATACCCCAAGTCAATCATCATTGCCACGCTGTACTCGTATATTTACAGACTGCTCAAGTAATGAATTCTCTTCAAAATATGAGTTATTAGGTGCCACTCAGGATATGAACACTCTTACCGGTCACCTGGATATAAACCAGCATCTTAGTATCTTCAACAATACTTGCTCTAATATCTTAAACTCTATTGCACCATTAAAGATGAAAAAACATAAACATAATCCAATACATTGGCATAATGATACCACTCGTTCCCTTAGGCAGACTTGTAGAAGGGCGGAACGTAAGTGGAAAAAAGATAGGCTACAAGTCTCATGTGAAATTTTACAGGACTCTCTCTCTGCCTTTCAGCGAGCTGCCAAGGCTGCAAAATGTAGATATTTCTACATGTAGATATTGAGTTAATCACACAAAACAGCCATAAGCCAAGTATTTTATTCTCCACTATTGAGTCTGCACTCCACCCAGTTGTTAACATTTTTCCTGAGGTATCTGTCTCTTTGTGTGAGAATTTTGCTAATTTTAATGACAAGATCTCTCAAATCGTGTCTACTGTGTCAATGCCATCATATGATTTGGTTAATGTTCCATACTCTGGTTCTACTTGGTCTCTTTTCGAGTCAGTTAACCTGAACACCTTAATCAAAACTCTGTCTGGCCTGAAACCTACAATGTGTCCTCAGGATGTTATTCCATCACGTTTTCTTGGACAGATTATTGACACTGTTGGTCCTGACTTGTTGTCTATTATCAGTAAAAGTCTCCAAACTGGGACTGTCCCCCATGACTTCAAACTTGCCACAGTGCGACCACATCTTAAAAAACCAAATTTGGACTCGACATTGCTGGCTAACTTTCGTCCGATTTCAAATTTGCCTTTTTTATCAAAAATTCTAGAGAAAATTGTCTTAAATCAACTTCTATCTTATTTGTCTCAAAATTCTATTTATGAAAAATTTCAGTCTGGTTTTAAACTTGTCACAGCACGGAGTCGGCCCTCTTAAGAGTTCTAAATTATGTCATGTTGACTACAGATTCTGGCCAGTCTATGGCTCTGGTCTTGTTAGACCTTAGCTCTGCCTTTGATCTGGTCAACCATGATATTCTTATATCTCGTCTTGAGGCATGTGTTGGTTTACGGGGCACAGTATTACAGTGGTTTAGGTCATATCTTACTAACAGGAGATATGTTGTCAACATTGGGCATCATTCCTCCTCTGAGATGCTTTTAAGATCTGGTGTACCTAAAGGATCGATTCTTGGTCCGGTATTGTTCTTACTTTATATGCTTCCTTTAGGGTTTATTTTTAACAAGCATGGGGTCTCTTTCCATCTGTATGCAGATGACACCCAAATTTACATCCCCTTAAAGCATGGTAATAAACATGCCAATAAGCCCATTTTGGATTGCCTGAAGGAACTGAAACTTTGGCTTGCAACAAATTTTTTGTGCCTCAATGAGAGTAAAACTGAATTCATTATGTTTGGTCCCAATGATCATAGTTTACACGATTTTGAAACTACATCTCTATCACCATACAGTACCACCTGTGTCAGAAACTTGGGTGTTTGGTTTGACAATAACCTTAAATTTGACAAGCAGATAAGTACCGTTGTTAAGTCCTTTTATTATTATATCCGGCTTCTCTCCAAAGTGAAGTCATTTCTATCATTAAAGAAGCTTGAAATAGCAATACATGCATTTGTTACATCCAGGCTTGACTACTGTAATTCTCTGTATGTTGGTGTTCCTCAGTCCTGTGTTTCTCGTCTGCAGTTAGTCCAGAATGCAGCAGCTCGGCTTCTTACTGGAAAGTGCAAATATGAGACTGTTACACCGGTTTTAATATCACTTCATTGGCTCTTGCGTAATTCCCAGGTCTGTCGAGGTGTTGCAGGATGTAAGTGTTGTTTTGTAAGATGTTTTGTGAGACTCTTAATGCATTTTATTTATTTTCTTTATATCTTTATTTGATTTAATCCATCTGGTCGTACAGGCACCTCACGCACACACAAACAACATTATTCTACCGTTGCCTGACATTTCAGCCATTCATCATCAAACTAAAATGCAGTCAACCAAACATAAAAGTTGCACTGTTTATTTTAAAAGGTCCGCTGTAAAATCAGCATGCAGCGCCCAAACAAACATGTTTGCGCATGTGAAGGATTTTACACGGATATTAGAACATGAGTGAAGAATAAAGCCATGTTTAGGCTACATAACGAATAATAGTTATGCAAACAAATGTTACAAATATGGCAAAAATGGAAACATTTGGATTCTTGTGGTATGAGACAGGCTCGTGAGCCCAATGCCTTTTCAGTTTTGCTTGACATATGTATGCTTTTTATAATAATTGCTACTATAGCCTAATTTGTGTTTTATTTTATAATTTAAAATGTACTGTAATTTTATAACTACTTATTTTTCATTCTTGTTCTGAATACTGTTGAATTTTAAATATTTGTTGTAGCGTGAGGGGAACTAAATTGGCTGTTTATATTTACCAGTATTTTAATATACATTTAAATTACATAAGTTAATGTAGCCTAATTGTTTGCAATTACAAGGTTAATGGGTGTTTTTGGAGTAAGATCAATTTCTCTTTCATGAGATCACTTCCTCTTTTTGGCCGGGTTTCGTTTCTCCATGTCGTAAACTCTAGGGGCGAGGCTTCTAAACCTGTTAGGTTTTCTGTTTAGGGTTAGGGGCTTAAAGGGGTCCTATTATGCTCTTTTACAAAGTCTTGATTTTGTTTTGGGGATGTACTAGAACATGCTCTCATGCTTGGTGGTTCGAAAAACGCATAATTTTTTACATAATTTACATTATTACAATACCTTTCTCCCCATCCTGCACTACACACTGACTAAAATTAAAAAAGTGAAGGACCCCTTTAAAAAAAATTCAGTTTTTAGAGGCGTGATATTCAAATGACGATTGTTTTCTGTCGCCACATTTATCAACGTGTGATCATTCGTACGATGAAATTGGCGGCATACGAATGTTTCATGAACTCTGTCGTAAGCAATTAGTTCCGGGTTTGATGAAGGCCCGCTTTCTGAAAAACGAAATGTGCTGTGATTGGTTAGCTGTCTCAGTGCGTTGTGATTGGCGAACAGCTTAGACGGTGTTTCGGTACTGCCACGCCCCTTGCCAAAGCAGCAAGTTCCGTCTGCTCTGGTTTAGTTAAGGATGGCGTCAATATTGCCATATCAATTTGAGGCGGATTCAGACCCAGAGAATGTTTTCTGTCGCCACATTTATCAACGTGTGATCATTCGTACGATGAAATTGGCGGCATACGAATGTTTCATGAACTCTGTCGTAAGTTGGTTTGTGCGCACGGATCTGCGCTCGTTTCTACGTTAGATTGATAAATGAGGCCCCATATGTTTATA